ATGATAACAATTTGCCTGGAGATACAAAGATCATCCCCAAGATTTTTAGCTCCAGTTCCCAGCTTCCCTTCCTGCCTGATAGGGAAGTATGAGGAAGTTCATTCTAGAGTGAAAAGCAGAGCTGTGGACTGCCTGAGATGCTCATTCCCCAAAGGGACAACCCCTTGCCATGTTATTTCTTGAAGATGGTCTCATAGAAGCCTTGGTTAGGGTTCAAGTCACGCCTAAATGAGAGAAATTGTCCACTGTTGTTCTTAACTTGAGAAGTTCAGAACATGGGTGAACATTTAATGGTCTTTTTAATGCAATAACTGCTTTTCAGTGTTACTCATCCTTCTGAGCAGTTGCTGTAGCTACAGCATAACGCTGAGAATTGGCAGGGAGGGAATCATGTATTCTACCTGGCCCATATGAAATATTTCATGAACAGTTGTATACCCTGAAGTAGGTGTTAACTGGAAAGATCTATGAATGTGTACACAGAAATTTCTTTCCTAATCCCAAATAGAGATTATCAACCTTAAATTTCAGGATTTATCTTGTTTAGGTGCATTAATATACCCTCAGATATCTTGTCATCCAAATGAATGTTTAATTCTTACTTGAATCCTTGGTTTTTATAAGAAATTATGTCATCTATGAGAAGGTAGGCCATAAAATAAACCTCATTAGTATTTCAGAAGTGCAGATTCAAGGTCATTTATTTATATAGGTGCTGGCTGTTGTAAACCATACGTGACACTAGGGGACGTTTGTTTATGGAGTCAGTTTACTGGAAAATCAACAAGGTCAGAGCTGCTCTAGCTCTTGTATTTGGAATGAGTCAGGTTTGGCATTTCAAGTTGAAAAAGAGCTCAGAATTTAGAACCAAATTAAGAATATACTGGATGGATGATTTTGGGAAGGACAAATTAGGTTTCTAGACATACAGTGCTAAAACTAGCAACAGCTTGCCTGGATTCAGAAAAATGACTAATACAGAAAAAAACTGAACTTATTTGG